ATATACGAAAACTTAATCACAGGGGTATGACCTTCGGGTATTTGCATCCAATGACACGTTATATTTTCACCCTAAGGGTAAATAAAACCTAGATATATGGTTTGATTTGATTATGATATATACATTTCGATGACTTGATATGAATTGATTTTGAACCATTTAAGTTGCGATATATGATTTGGTATTTATGATATGTATTTGTTTTGTAGAAACAAGCATTGCTTCTTGAGTTAAATTTTACGTTATCATCCTTAGTCCGTTTCTTTTCCTTATTATGTTATATAGTATCTACCCACCGAGCTATTGATTTGCTCACCCTTTACTATTTCAGTCTTGCAGGGGTTTGTGAAAGTGTCCTTTTAGCTTTCACTCGATTACTTATCTTGAAGTCGGCACATTGATCGTGCGGCTTATTTACTTGTAATTTCTTAGATACTTTGATTTTGTTGTAACTCTTAGAAGTTCTAAAGTTATATCTTGTAGGAGTTCTGTTAGATATGATTATGGATATTATATAAAAAATGAAAGCATAGTATTGAATTATCATTTGTATTAGAGATACAAAGAAATGAATATTAAGTTGAATTATTGTTAATTGAAATGATATTCAAGGTGATATAAATTTGAGGATTATAGTTTAGTTATTCGAGACTTGCTTAGGTCGAGGTAGGCCTCACGATTCTCTTGATTCTCACGTCGATCATGACCCGCTTCGAGGGTCGTGACAAAGTTGGTATCGAGCATAGGTTTTAGAGCCTAAGGTAACTATAGAGCATATGTTATATTCTAATCCATGTCCTTGCCTCGAATTACATAGAACAATCAACTAGCATACACCCTAGCTTCTATGAATATAGTCTTAATTTGCATATGAGAAGTAAGATTTATCACGCACGGTCCTTCATATGGTTTGCTTGATTGACACACATGACCGTGTCAATTTTTCTCTTCATTCCGTGTCTCTTAGCTACCGCTCGTGTAGCTTTTCTTTCTTCTTTGAATGACTCCTTGGTGACACATGGTCGTATAACTTTTGCTCCTCATCCCGTGTCTTTCACTCGCTATTCGTGTGACTTTTCTTCCTTTCTTGGATGACAACCTTATTGGTGACATAGACATGTCAAATTTGTTTCACAAACCATGCTTACTCTTTCGCTCGTCTCTCTCTTGTGCCAAGCACAATCATGAGCGTGTCAAATTTTCTATATAAACGAGTACTTATTTTTTAGCTTGTGTGTCTTCTTGTGCTAAACATACATACGAGCATGTCACTTTTCCGCACAAGCCATGCTTAACCCTTCCGCCCATGTGCTTTCTTGTGCTAAATACATGCACGAATGTGTCAAATTTACTCATTAAGTCATGTTAACCCCTTTTGCCCGTGTGTCCTTTTTTCAACTTGGCTTTTCATTTTATTTTCATTTTATTCTTCATGCGTTTAGACTTGTATGTGCCTTGGCTTGGGCTTACTTATATTGATTTGCTATTTTCTTCTTTTAAACCTAAAATCGTTACCTAATTAAGTACAAGCAAGCCTATCGAAAGAGGGAACAAAAATCATACAACTTATGCATTAATTATTTGCCTTCTTGAAATTATTCCTTTTGAAATGTGCTAAACTTGAGTCGTGTTTCGTATAGGTTGCTATGGTGAAGACTAGGTCGGGTGATCATAGAGGAAAAGGTGGCAAGGTTGAGGCATCATCCGGACCTTTAAGGTCTCGTGATAGATCTAGAGTTAGGAAAGAAATAAACTATGATATGATGATGCTAGCTAGCATCATGATTGATTTTCGTGCTATGTAGCATATGGTAGAGACAATAGCCGAGGGTATTCAATAAACTTTTTAAACTATACCGGGATTGGTGTCCGCCAATCAAGGATCGAATGAAGTAGGTACTTTTGCAATTAGCACTTGATCGAATTAGTGAGATTTGACCCTTACGTATCGAATTTTTTGAAATTAAAGTCGCTAACCTATTCTAGTAATAGAGATGATAAAGATCCAATACATGTCATAGATAAGATAGAAAAGAGGCTAATTGTAATGGGTTTACCTCGCATTCGAGGCTATGATTCAATTTGGGTTATCGTGGATAGATTAACTAAGTCTCGCTCATTTTTTACCCGTAAAAACCACCCACGAGCATGCTCAATATGCCCAACTATATATTAATCGAATAGAGTCCCGAGACGACATCTTAGTTTCCATCATTTTAGATCAAGGTACTCGGCTTACTTCTCGATTTTAGAGAAAATTACAAAAGGCTCTTGGTACGAGATTAGACTTTACTACGTCATTCCATCTTCAAACGAGATAGTTAGTTAAAAAGGATTGTTCGTACCCTAGAGGATATGCTTAGAGCATATGTGATAGATCTAAAAGGTAGTTGGAATCGTAACTTGTCATTTATCAAAGTCTCATATAATAACAGTTATCACTTTAGTATCGGTATGACACCGTATGAGGCCTTGTATAATCGAAAGTGTAGATTATCCATATGTTAGGCGAACGTCGATGAAATGGAACCTTTAAGGCTAGCATTGATTCAACCGACTATCGAAAAAGTGAAGTTGATCCAAGAATGCCTTATGACTACATATAGTAGACAAAAGAGTTATGCGAGATCTTAGGAGGAGCCATGTGAAGTTTCAAAATGGTGATTTCATGTTTCTTCGAGTTTCTCCGATGAAGGAAGTAATACAGCTTGGCAAGAAGGGAAAACTAAGCCCGAGGTATATTGAAACGTTTGAGATCATTGGTCGAATTGGAGTAGTGGCTTATGAGTTGGCATTGCCATCACAATTTTCAAGTGTGCATCCTTTGTTTCATGTTTCCATTCTAAGAAAATATGTACTCGACTCATCTCATATCTTAGAATCGTAATTTGTGGATTTAAATCCCGACTTGTCATATGAGGAGCAATCGATGGCAATATTAGACCGTTAGGTTAAGAAATTATGCAATAAAGAGTTTGTATCTATTAAGGTCATTTGGAGGAACCATTTGACCGAAAAAGCTACTTGCAAGGCCGATGAGGAAATGAAAAAAAATATTTATATATTCTCACTTATTTACTTACTAAAGTACAATTATAATTAAATTCAAGAACAAATTTTCTTAAGGAAAAGAGAATGTAATAACCCATCCTAAAATAATATTTAACTTAAAAAAATAATTCGGCTAGGTGTAAAATGGGGACATACTGTTGTGCCTCGCTATTTTTCTTTCTTTTTCCCTTCCCTTCTCTTATAGCTTTCTCTCTAATTTTCTCCCATCTCCCTATTTCAAATCCTAAGCTAACACTTAGTTAAATTAGCTTAGCAAAACCATAAACTAATTGATTAGATGGAGTTTAGTTGATTGAAGCTTTAAAAGCTTAGAGAGTTTGGATTGGAATTTGGATTGAAATTTGAATTGAAGAAGCAATTGTCAAAGGTAAGGACTTCTATCATTTGATCTTTTAATGACGATATTTATATGTGTATTTGATGATTTTGAAGTTAGATTGTATTGGATTTGTTGTTGGAATGAAGAATTAAGTTAGATTGGTGTTAGGATTTAAGATCCATTTGCGAAAAAAGTTAATTAAGTGATTCTAAGTGATTAAATGATGTTTAATTACTTTAGATAAGTGGTTTATGAAGTTAATTTACGATGAAATGGAGTAAACTTAATTAATTGAAAGGTTGAAGATGATGAATAGTAAAAAATTTGAAATTTGAGTTTTAAATTGAAAAGAATTTGGGAAAAATAATGAATTAAGTTATCGAAGCACAATTAAAGATGAAGGTAATAAGAATTGAGTGAATTAGAATAAAATTGATAATTTAAAAAGACGATTGTTTAAAGTGATTCTAGTGTCACTTTAAATGAGATATTAAATTTTGTTTCAGTATCCAAATCACTTAGCTAGAATTGACAAGAAAAAGACCAATAACCAACTCGTAAATGATGTTGAAAAAGTGAACACATAAAAATAGACTTGCATAAATAACTTTTCTAAAATTCATAGTAACCTCCCTATAAGAGAATACTAAGATGACGGTAGTTTTTCTAAATGTATAACCAACTTTTTTAATTAGAACTTTTGAAACTAATATTTGCTTTTTTTTCCTCTATTTTTTAGTTTTCACGTTGACGAAAAATTGAATGGTGACTATTTTTTTTAGAACTTTATGTTTCTCAATCCCCTCGATGTCACCATGTGACATTATTATCTATGTATCCCTTCTAAATATGACATCTATCTAATTTTTCACATACTTGACCCTTCTTACAATTTTAATTATCAAAAATTACAATTTATATTTATAAATTCATATCTCATTTGAAAACTTTTGACCTTTCAATTCCTTGAGATCTTCTCCCTAACCTTAAATTTTTTTCTCACTACATCATCTTAATTTGTGGTTCTTCCCACACCTTTGAGACATACCCTATTTGAATAGTAGCATAGAATCACTATTATTTTACAATATGTTCATAGCCCTCTTATTAAGATTACTTATTCTTCCTTTCAAGCCACACTATAGCACATATCTCCTATCTAAACTAATGTACAACACTACTACACCTCTTAACACCCTTAAAAAATCTTGCATCTACAATGATAAATTTTTGGTTGTTTTCTCTCTTTAATAAAGCAGATCAATGTACCATTTAAAAAAAAAAATTACTTAACCATAAATGTAACCAACCCTAAATACTTGATTGATGAGGATGTAAACTTCAGAAATCAACTATGCAAATAAACCTCTACAAATACGGTTAAGCAATCAAAACACGGAAGATTAACTAGTTATGCATCATATCTATAAGCTTAGACACTTCAGCCAGAGTTGAATATTGTAAATGAATTTGACTCTTGTATTGATTTCACTCCTTCCTATCATTATATGGTTTGAACCTTTTCAAATTTTAGGTGACGATTCACTTCTTCTATTCTTATTTTTCTATAAGAACCTTTAAAGAAAAAAATAAAATAATTTATGGTTGTTTATAAAATGCTAGTTTTGTAAAACAAAAGAGCAAAGGAAGAAAATGGAGAAACACTTACAAGTCGTTTTGAAAGCACTTCCACAATCGTATTTTGACTATGAAGCTGGCCCTTTAATTGGCCAAATTCCTTTTCAAGTTTATTCATCCCATCTTTTTGATGTTGCAAAGCTTGTGTTAGTCGAACTTCTTCATTTTTTAAGCAATCATTCTCTCTCCTTAAACGATCATTTTCGTTGGTAAGTGCATCCAATTTCATCTTGGTGTTCAACTTATCTTCCTACAAATAAATTGCAAAATACAAGAGAGAAACAAATACATATTAAAAAGAATAATACAGGTAAAAGGGAAATACAATATCAACTCAAATGACACGATTCTTTGGGTTTATTAAAGAAAAAAATAACATCGCCAAGAGCACCATGCATTCGCGGGTCTATATATATGTGTGTGATTCCAATATTTTATACTCTAAACATCATTTTATTATAGGTTTTATTAGATAATTCTCTTATATTTAATTGAATGTCAATAATGTTAATAGTCTATATATATATATATATATAAAAGGTCGTATAGGTTGACTGCTGTCCATAATTTTTCTAGTTTTTTGCTAATTTCAATTTGGTCCTCACTCTTAATTTCTTTGCATAAACCCTTGATTCTAATTTTTTTCTAGTGTTGAATTAATTATTGTGTGTACAGTAAGTCTGATGTTAATGGTAATTTATGCGCGCTGTTAAGAGTTTGGATGGCCCATTAATTTGGTGGATGAGCTAAATTGATAAATCCGAATTTTTTAGGATTAAAGTGTTGTTGTTGGGTTTTTGAAGTGCTTTTTTTCCTAAGGTTATCTTATATCTTATGTTTATCAAAGAAAAAAAACTATTTTCAAAAATATTTCTACTTTAATTTCAATTTATTTGATTTCTTTAATTTAGACCTATATATCATAGTTTTTCAAAACATATAAAATAGTTATCAAAATAAAAATTGTTCGATTACTTTGATTTCCAATACTCATGCTTTATTTCTTAAAACTTTTTTTTTCCTAATTGATCTACATATCATAATTCATTGATTGTCAAAATTCGTTTTCTAACATATTTTCATAGTCGTAAAAAATTATCCATATTTTTTTTTCCTTCCATGCATTTGAAAAATTAAAAATATTTCAATTTAGTATTTTTTTCAGATATATATTTGACATGACCTTTTTTGTATAACTTATTTTTCAAAGTTCCAAAAAGATTTTGAGGGCTTGTGCCTCCTTTTTTTTTTTAAATATATCTTACATATAAAATAAATATACTTTCAGCTAAGGTTATTCTAATTTTGATGATGGAGTTTTCTCTTTTATTATTACTTAAGTAATAAAGATATATGCTTTCACAAGTTTTGATGTCTAGTGTCGTTAACCATTTTAGTGTGTTTCCTTCATCGGACCTCAATAGTTTGCAAACAAATAAAAGGAAAGGAATTTATAAGTATTATCAACCGAGGTTAGTGTATCCTAATAATAAAACCCACCTAAAAGGACTTTAGGTCACTAATTATAAAAATAATTAATAATTAAAAATTTTTAACTGTCGTTTGGTTAGCAGAAAAAAATGTTCAGAATAAAAATGCAAAAATTGAAATGAAAATTAAAAAACAAATGACCTTTACATTCTCATATTATTATGTTTGAAATAATAATAAAAAATTAGAATAAAATTTAAATTTTTTAATTTTTGATTTTTAATACAATTAAAAATAATAATTATGAATTCATCATTAAAAGATTGATGATGTCTTTTGCTCTAATCAGCCCTATAGATCTTAAATTTGGTAAAACTAATAGAATCTACCGTTATCTTCATAGAATACTTATGATCTAATTTATGACACATCTGTATAAATAACTAAAACAACAAATTAAAAATTGTACTATTTTTAGGATTTCTTCTAAAAATAATTTAACCATAGATATAATTGTTTCTCTTATTTTCATTTAAAGAACTAAAGAGATGACTTCTCACTTTTTTAAAAAAGGCTTACCTCTCTAAAATTTGGATGAGGAAAGATTCTTATTCAATTTTGCAAATATCAAGATTTTCCTCTCATCTTTTTATCTAAGGATTGTTTCTTATATAAAATAGTTGATTAGTTAGAAGTCTCTTTAACTTGTCCCACTCTCAAACAAACACATTATAGAATCGACTTTTGAAAGACTAGATATTTATTCTTTAAATTAAAGAATATCAAGGTGAAGGTGAAAATGTTTAACATAAGAGTAAAATTTGTAGAAATAGAACTAAAAAAGAGGAAAAATTTTTAAAGTCATTTTGTAGAAAAATTAATTGATTTCCTTGACAAATTAATATATAGATAGAAAGCAAGTATTAAGATCTAGTGGATTTGTTAACTAGGCGTAAAGATTTTCAAACTAGCTAAAAGGAAAAAAAAAATTTAAAAATAGCTTTGAAATAATGATGATAATCAAACTGTGATCAACATAAATGAATTTGTTTTGGAGAAGATGGTTCAAATAAATTTTGGTATGCAATTTTAAAAATAAGAAGAATAAATATGCAAGCATTAGTATGGAATTATAACTCAAGAGTACCGTTTGAAAGGAAAAAAAAAATTCCGTTAATTTGAATAGAAAATTTTGATAGAATAATATATTAAAGAAATTAAATGCCATATAAAATTACAATAGACACAAAAAAAAGGGTAAAAACATATCAGAGACTTTGTTGATTATATAAAAGCATATTGACTCATTTACCTTTCCTATTTTGGGATGAATTTAAGAAAAAAATATATAATTCTATTAAAGGTAATTTTTTTTATTAATTAAAAAGAGATTACTCCATGCACTTACAAATTTTTATAAAAAAGAAATAATGACAAAAAAAACTTAAATCAGTTACTCCGGTCCGTAGATAATAAGCAAACAGAACCTCGATATACAGATTATAGAGCGAAACAATTTAATTGAATTCCTGTCTGTGACTCTAAAGAGAGAAGAAAATAGGAGGTTTAATTACCTTACATCGTTCACGATAGGCCTTGTCAATCCGTCTTTTCTTCTCAGCTGCTGCATCTCTTGTAGCTCCAGAAAGTTGTCTTTTGAGATTAGTATCAATTGTTTTTGGAATCTGATAACTTAATGGTTCATCCGACACACTAGCACTTGGATCCCAGGACAATGCCAATCCCTCTGCGTTTTAAATTTAAATGAACAAAAACCTTTAGATATATATATATACACACACACTTAAATTCAAAGTGAAATATTCGGTTTCTCAAGTCTTAAAATCATTAAATAGAGATTATTATTTTTGAGATCTCCCTAAGAAGCAAGCAACATGGATGCAAAATTCAATTCAATCAAATCTGTTATAAGACAAAAGGAATTACAATATATTGTGGAAATAATTGAGCTGCGATTTTTACTTACTAGAAAAATCTGGAAACCATGAATCTGGAGACCACAGGAAAGGAGCGGCACCCTCCATTCCACAAGATTTGCTTTCTATGGAGAGATGAAGAGACCTTTGTTCTTGAAAAGAAAATCATCGAAATTATTAGAAACGTTAGCCAGACAGCTCTCAGTCAAATCGTGCGAAAGCATTCGATGTCGCCCCTCCATTGTGGGAAATTGTTCGACTCGCACGCCAATCAGACAACTTCATGGGCCCCGCGAGCCGTATAGAATTACAGAAACTTGGGTTGATAGGCACGTGCTAGACCGCGCCTTACACTTGAACAGCATAGGCCCAACATGGACGCTTTCAATAGTTCATCCAAGCGCTTGTTCTTAAATAAATCTTCTTTTTCTTCGTATTGTGTTTTTAATAATAATTTAGTTTCCCTCATTTTTTTCAATTATATCCTTAATTCATGTTGCTATCCGATATTCGTGAGAATTGTAAAAATAATAAGTAGAAATTTTTTATTTGTGGATATGAATTAAACTAAATTTTTTGAGTCGTCACTTACTATTAAAGGAATTAGGAACCTAAAAATTGCATTGGTTTAGAGATTTTAAGATAACGAATTGGTTATATCTTTGAAAAAATATATCAATTACCCAAAGATATTCCTTTCGAGAAAAGGTACCACATCTAGTTTATCTTAAATATTTATCTCTCAAAAATTCTATTTTTGCTAAATTATTTCTCAAGTCAAAATTTCAAGTTTACTACTTAAGTCAAATTAATTTTTTTATTTTATTTATGGCATCATATTGAATCGATCGTCGGATTCCATCGTTGGGAGTCTCGTCAATTTAATATCGGATTCGGTTTAAGTTTCGACATAACCAGTATGTTAGAGAACAATCTAATTACTAAAATGTAATTAATTTTGAATTAATATTAGTCCTTACTCGGATGGGAGACTCGTTAATATTGCTTAAAATATTTCTTTTATTCTTTTCATATTTTATTTAGAGTTATACGAGTATTTTGAGTTATATGAGGAAAACATTATCAAAATTACTTTTTTGTTTATTTTTTTCTACAACATTGTATTAAATGAATGTCGGGTTTCAAAATTTGAGTCTCGTCAATTTAGCATCGAATCCGAATTAAAGTCCCGACACAATTGGCATATCGAGTAATGACCTAATTAACAAAAATTATTTACGTGACATGTTAAATAAAATCGACCCGACTTGACTCATTATTATTATTATTATAGCATTTTTAATACTAAATAAAAATATCAAACCATCGTTCATCCCTAATAAATTAAAAACTCGTTAGTCCGACATCACAATCGAATCAAACTCCATACATTAAAATAAATTTCACAACCTAAATATTTCTAAGTTTCCAACATAAATAAAATTAAAATTATTACAAAACAACATCATAAAGTAATTAAAAACATAGGTAAGAAAACAAATCGAATTGTCACTAAATAGTGACCAAAATGCCCATGTACATGAAAATTATCAAAATGTCCTTGTATATCAAAATTATGAAACTACCCCTCGGAACCCCTAACGTTACTACCACAATCCACGATCACCATTGGTGCATGATTGGTCAAGATAGGAGTGTCGGGGCCTATTGGTTCATCTAGAGTTGGCGATGTAGGTCACGGATTCCGAAGGAGGGAGATCGACATATATCGACAACTCGTTATTTTCCTCTTCTTCTTTGATCATGATTCCAACCACGACAAGGGATAAGAAGGATACCAATAAACTCGAGAAGACCATTCGAATGTTTATCAAGTAGTTTAGAGGTCGAGTTTGATAGAAAATGAAAGATTTAGCTAGGTTTCAAAAACAAGTCGAGATGGTTGTTATATTCGATTCGACCAATTTTTGGTAATGTTGAGCCATAATTTTTAAGGAGAACTACTTCTAGGAGGTTATGGGGTGTTTCTTTAGAGATGGGAGTGAATGATTTGGGAGGAGAGTGAAAAATCGTCCGAGTTGCTATCCGAGATCGGGCTCCGCAGACTTCTCCTTCAATTTTTGACCCCCTTCAACGTCTCCTCATTCTTTAATCAATCAAGAATGATGGATCTAATGATGGGCTATCAATTAGTGGGTGCTAGATGGAGGTAATTTCGATCGAAGGATGGTCAATTTAATAAGGGGAATGTTAGTAGGTAAACCGGCCAACCCATGGGTTGATAGGCCTCGTCCTCTTTTTTGGGATAGTTTGGTTGATTTTTTGGTTTTTTTCTTTTTTTAGGATCCGTTTCCTCCTCTAATTTTTTATGGAGAGAAGAGCAAAAAGATGGGTGTAACGCCTCCGCCCCGATCATATTTCTACTACCCAAGTAGGATACTGGACGAAGTGCGTTACGCCGACATACCCTAAACTCTAAGTAGTTTTCTTATGATATTCTTAGAACTTTAACGAGTACATTACATATATAACTTCTTAAGATAAAATTTACATAACATAATTAAATACATTAATAAAATATTACGAGCAATATTCAATTTCTCACGAACTCCATACCCTAAATTTATAGACAAAATAAAAACTAATATATGGTGCCTCACATGAGCCGGTTAGGAGGAGCCAGCCGCATCCGTACCAACTTGTCCTTTTCCGTCAAGACATAAAAAAAATAACAACGGGATGAGCCGAAGCTCGGTAAGCGGGGTGATGCACGTGATATGCAATGTTGTTTTGACTTCCCACCATACTCATAAATTTTAATCTCGAGTACCCCAGGTATTAGCCGATCTACTCTATTTATCATCCGGGTAGTCCGTAGATCACCTTCTGCTACAATGGAATTATCCCTCGTTGTAACTACCGTTAGCGGTAATCCATCGTCTAATAGTGCAAGCACACGGCTTGATTTCATCCGAGATGATCCTCGGATCATCTTCTGCTACAACGGAATTATCCCTCATTGTAACTACTATTAGCGGAAATCCATCGTCTAATAGTGCGGACACACGACCTAGAGTACTTGGACTACTAATAGCCATTTATTTCGGTTAGGTTATCAAACCTAGATGTATAAACCATTTCTCAATCAATTGACTTGTCTTAAACCACCCACTATGCACATGATGCACGTGATGACATATTTAATCACATTCAATCAAATTCGGGTACCGACCCTTCATTCTTATGCCATACTCATGGTCCAACCCACACTCGGAATTTATCCATTGCTCACATACCAATCGTGATACCCACGAGTGAGAACACAATCTCCGCTCATTAATATTGTTCATTAGTCTCATTAATATTTAAAAGAAGGTCCAAGTCTATTTACTTTAATCCGAGCTCATTAACTTTATCCTAGGTCCATTGACTCTATTTAATTCCATTTTATTTAGTCCAAGCTCATTTAGTTTATTCCAAACCTATTAATTTTGTCCAAGTCTAATTTTTTTTGTTTTAGGGTTTATTACCGGGCAACTCCTAATCGAGTAAATAATTTTCTATTTTCAGAACATAATTAAATCTTACTCATTTTATTTTAGATACTAGACATATTTATTTATAACATATCCAAAAATTAGATCTAAATACCAAGTACACAATTAATTATAAATTTTTGAAACTTAGGGAGCAATCTGCCTAATAGTAGTTTGTCTAGAGCTATCCATACTAAATCAGGTATAACTCTTTGTACACGAATCAAATGACCAAGAAATTTTAAAAGCAGTTAGTTGAAATATAAATGAACAACTTTTATTCTTTAAGTTTCACCTATAAATCGATCTAAAATCCTTGAACATGCACCCCAAAATTCGGACAGAATTTACTCCTTATCAACACTAATTTATTAGTTCATTCCAAGCCAACTTTAAACATGTTTTAGTTCACTTAAATTTAGTCCAAATTCAATCCAACCCATCAGCACATACTTGGAAATTTTTCAAAAAATCATAACATCATAAATCATCACAACAAGGCATCCATACATAGATTTATCCCAAGCATCAAGCATATAACCATTGAAAATTATTACAACCCATGAAATAAACACTAACAAAATAACTTTAAAAAAATAATTTAAGACATTAATCAGCCAAAAAAAATGAAACCTACTTACCTTGCTTTAGTTTCCTTAAGGTTTTTTAGGTTCTCCCCTTCTTTCTTTCCTTTCCTTTTTCTTTCTCTCCTCACTATCACGTTTTTCTCTCTTGTGTTTTACGGGTTTCTTTCTTCTTCTTTTTTTTTTTTTTTTGCCTAAACCTTTCAGCCAACTTTCACTCTTTCTATATATATATACCTCCCATTTCCTTTCTCTAAGTATAGATACATGTGGCTTAAATGTATTTGGTAAGGTGTAAAGTAAATGGATATTTCATGAAGCAATGGACGGATTTGCATGGCAACTACTGAGTGAGTCGGCATGGTGAGTTGTCTTAGGGCATTTAATGAAATTGATAAGTGTCTCACCCTTTTAATTAAGATAAATAAACCATTATAGTATCTTATTTCATATATTAATTAAGCTAATTAAGTCCCTAAATTCGTTTGGTCCCAATTACACACACACATCTCAAGTCCGTTTGGAGAAGCTATCTTACAGGACGACCTCTTCTCCAACAGAAACGTTCCACTTATAGATACCATTAAATCCTATGATTTTTATACGATAAATGCGAAATATAAAGGTAACACATATCCAAAATTTAGTTCAAAATAACCAACAAACGACTCACAATGAATTTTTAAAGTTTAAGGATAAATATGCCCAGCAGGATTGTGTCTAGAATGATATGTACTAATATGGGTATAACATTTTATATATAAATATAAAAATCACCAAATTTTATATAAAGTTATTAGACACATAAATGAACAATGTTTATTCTTTACGTTTTTCTCAACCATCAATCTAGCATCTCGGGAAGATTCTTCTCCCGAAATTCCAGCAAAATGCATTTCGAACAACCCTCACCATAATGGATATAACTCTTAATGTATTGGTCCAAGAATTATAAAATTTTATACAGGTATATCTAACACATAGATGAACAACTTTCATTCTTTAAGGTTTACCAAAAATCACTCTA